CTGAGTATTTGATTAACTCCTGTTTGCTTTCTAGTAATTTTAACTAATAGTGCTTAAAATGCACCAGGGAGCTTGCTTCAGGTGCACAAAAATCCCTTCCTAGCATCCTTTTGTTCCTTTTTCATCTTACCTGGAGAAACCTGGAGCACCAGGAAAAGGACAGAGAAGAGCAGGTAAAGGATCCTCATGGTTGCAGATCTGCTGAGCCACTATAAGGAAGAGGACCAAGAAAGGTGTGACAGACAGCCCTCAAACCTACTGTCCTCTGAACTGCACAAACATTGTATTAATCAAAATGGCACTTATATTACTTTTTCTTCAATCTTTCAAACATACCCAGTAATATCTATGTGGCCTCATGTCACCTGTGTGAGCATTTCTGGGAAAAGGAAAGATGTCTGGGGCAACATGCTTTCGGGGTATGTGATTATTTAATTATTATAGTTCAGATTTTCTCTCACATTTTGCAAATAGTCCTTAGCCAAAATGCAGACGTGACCTTAGGTTTGGTTAAATGTTTTATCTAATAAATAAACAACACTGAGCAGAAAGAGGTGATCCTACAGACAAGCTTAAAAACTACAAGAATAAACATTCATTTTGCAACTTTAAAACTTATCAAGAAGTAGCAGCTAAAAGCTATTTGCTCAAAATCACCAGTTTTATTCTAGAATGACTGAAATTTTAAAAAACAAACATGCAATGATTTCATTAAAACAGTCAATGATTAATGCAACCAATATTTGTAAAATGGGATAAGTTAGCCTAGAAGGGGCTTCTGGATAGGAAGGAGGTATTTAATCATATATCTTGGCATTCTGATCCAGAACAAATTATTTTATCTTAAGCAATGCAGGGAAACAAGGTTGTGATGGAATATTGTATTTCTGCAAATAGGATGACAGAGAGTAGCCCAAAGGGGATTTGCAATTAGTATCAGAAGTCCACTCCAAATTCTGAATATTTGAAAATATCAGGAGAAATAAATAAAGTTAACTTAATTCTGAAAATGAAATAAAGTTCTTACCATAGATACTGAATATATTCTGGTTTCTGCCTAAGCAGCCAGCAACTTCTCTGGCCCACAGACCTCTTTAAAGCAACCTGACCTAGACCCATTTTTTCCTAGGAGTTTAAGCAGAATATATTAGCTCACATTTGAACTGCTTACTCAACCTGTGTAACTGTGTAGATTAACATTTTTAGTAACTTAAAAATTTAGGTTAATAATGCAGAGTTTTGTTTGGAAAAAAAAAAAAAAAGGCAAAAAACACATAACAACAGAAGATATTAAAAGAAAGACTGAAAAGAACTGAGAACTTACCAGGTACTAGATGACCCCAAAGGCCAAACAAGAGCTCTTCTTGGTCCCTTCCCTCCACGGGGCTTTAGTTGTGGGATGAAAGGCTCTTTTATAACATACCTGCTATAGGTAGTGACGATTGCTTTCTCTTTCCACCAAGTCTATGTCGAGCCAATCAAAATGGGACTCATCTTTTTGGTGACTTCTAATCCAACCAGAAACGAGTTGCTTCTCGCTTCCCAGTCAAAAAGCAGGGTTTGCATCTGAGCCTGCTGAAGATTTGCTCCTGGAAAATCCCAGGTTCTTCATGCAACACCTCTTGTGACACTCCGGTTTGTGTAAGATGCGTTAAACCACAGTGGTATGTGTCAAACATCTTGGGACATATGTTGAACCATTCCTGGTTGGGAGCAACAGAAAGTACTGCAATACAGAGCATCTGTGTGCTCTCCCCGTCAGTTTATTTTCTGTATCATAAATACAGAATATAAGAACATAGAGCCTTTGGGAATAGTCTAGCTACAATCACATACAATAACCAAAATACATCTTGGATTTGTATAGTGCCTAATTGTGTTTATTCCTTTGTTTCCACACCTTCATTTATATATATATATTTTTAAGTTCCTAACATCTGTCTTGCTTGTTTATTCACAGGTGCACACTGACATTCCTAGAGAAGCACCCACAGTGAAGTTTTCATTTGTATTAGCGTAGTTTTGAAGTAATACCCTGATGTTCTTCTGTGATATCATGCTGGTTCAGGTTACAGAGGGGTTTTCATGCATGCAAACTATATTCTCTAGGAGGAAAGTGAACAAGATGTTTTACTTTAAAGGTGCTCCAAAGGTATTCTGAAGGTACTGCAATGCCTAGTGTGGGTTATACCACCACCAGGTCCTATAAGTGTGCATCCAGTATTTCTTTCTCTTTTAAACCTGGAGAGTTTGTACCAGGGGATTGGCAATATGAGAAGAGGCTGAGGGACCCATCTTTGTTCAGCTTGGAGAAAAAGATAGTTAAAGGGGAATCTAATTTTGTTTATAACTACCTAATGGTAGCTATGGAGAAGATAGAGCCACACTCTGATCTGAGGTTCACCGTGATGAAAGGTAACAGACACAAATTGTAGCTGGGGCAATTCCAATTAGATGTAAAGTTAAAAACCTGTCAAAATGAGGATTATCAAATACTTGAATGGGGTCCCAGCAAGTTTATAGTATCTTGTTACCTGTGGATATTCAAACTCAATTAGGCAAGGCCATAAGCAATCCTGTCTATCTTTGAAATTGGCTCTGTTCTGAAGGTGCAGCTGGGCCTCCAAGCACCCATTCAAATTTACTTTCATTTATTGTTCTATTCAAAAGCAAAATCCAATCCAAACTCAATCTGTTAATCCATACAACAGACTTGAGGAGCATCAGCCATCTCTAAGTTGTATGGATCGTTTCCTATTTACTAATCTTCCATCACACCAAGTCACTTGTTGACTTTGGCGTACCCAGCAGCTATCTAAAGGCACCAATACTAAATATTTTTTCATATCATATTTCAGTATCATATATCCTATATATGAAATATATCATATATTTCATATGATATATAGGATATATAGGATATATTATATATCCTATATATGAAATATCATATATCCTGATATGAATGAAGTAGCTTTTTATTTTCTACATATTTTAAAAAATGAATTGTTGTGGTGTGGTTTTTTTCGGTATAAAAATTTGATAGTTCAATTCCTGGTGTGTCTATGAACTTCTGACCATAAAGCAAGAAAATGGAGGGAAAGAAAATGGCATAACATGTAGTTGCTTCACAACTTGCCAAGAGTTTGTGGTTAGCTTGCCTACCAACCGTAACTGTTACTCAACCTGAAGCAGTTAGGAGCAAAATGAAGGGATAATTCCAAACTTGGCTCCTAATAGTTTTCTGGTGAAAAAAAAAAAAAAAAAGAAGAAGAAGAAAAAAAAAAGAAAAAGTAGAAAATATTAAGGAGGTCTTTTATAGCATCAATTTTAATTAAATTACTTAATGAAATCATTGATAAATTATTTAATAAAATTATTATTATTATTAAAAATAATATATTTTTTTAATAAACCTAATTTCAAATGCTACTACACCAAAACCTGACTGCTGTTCCACCCCTCACCTCCAGAGGACAGTTTGTGCATTGCAATGAAGGCTTCAGGCATCTTGAGGTCATTGTATTCAGGTACAGGCAAAGCAATGTTCCTCAGTTGTGTGGTGATGGCATCCCTTAACCTCCTTCATGTGTGTTGAATTCTTGCCATAAGGCATAACCATTGCATAGGAGGTGAATGCATTTTGATGCAATTGTGGAGTGTACAGTATAAAGAAATTCAGATTTCTCTAGAATCACTGCAAAAGCTGTTACCAGCTGTTGTACTACTGAAGGAGATCCACTCAGTGGAAGATAGCCAGTATTTAGATGATGTTCTGTATTTATAGGTGCATCTGTAATGGATGTAGTGCATTATAGATATCAGATAAAGCTTTGAGACAAGTTTAGATAATCTCAATTAGCAACAAATATGTACGTGGTTATAAGCTTTGATTAGTGCACTAAAACTATCTAACCAAGATGATGAATTTAATGATCCTCTAGTTATCTTGATTAACCAGGGAGAAATCATAATATGAGGTTAAAATCTCCATGGACAGATCCCACTCCATCTTCTATTTGACTTGACAGCTAAAGGTATCAAGCTAGGAGCAGAATCCAGCCCTTTGGTGCTACTGTGCCAGCAGTAAGGACCACAGAGTGGGAATGTGTTTGCTAGTGTCCTCGTCCCCTCTTTGTACCTCTTTTCTAATTTGTGTCCTGTCAGGGGTCTGATGTCATCCAAAATGTTGCTGGATTTCACTTCCATGAGGTCTCTTCAGGAACAAAATGTCTCAAGTGCCTCCAGGCCCACTGAAGGAAGTAGCTGGAGATACCTTGGCATTTTCTACACTGCTAGGCAACGATGACAGAGAAAAAGAGAATGAAAGCATGAAACCTGTCTCTGACATCTCAGTCCAAAATAGTAAAATGTCTTGAAAAAGCAGCTTTGAAACTACTGGAATGTGTACTTGTACACTAGCACCGAGCACAGAGAGAAATTAGGTTTCTTTCCTGACCATGGTCACTGCAGGAGTCTTCTAAGGATGTGGCCACTGGGGGGCAGAGGATAAAATGTCCTCACTTTTCCCTCAGGTGTGGAAGGACATAAGTGTTAGATCATAGAATCATTAAGGCTGGAAAACACCCTAAAGATCTTTAAGTCCAACCATCACCCACCACCACCACATCCACCACTAAAGCATCTTCCTAAACACTACATCCCCACGTCTTCTAAATGCCTCCAGGGATGGGGGCATCTCCACTTCCCTAGGCAGCCTGTTCCAATGCCTAAACCTTCTTTCTGTGAAGAAATTCTTCCTGATATCTAATCCAAACCTCCCCTGGCACAATTTGAGGCTGATTTCCTCATGCCCTTGTCAACCGTCTCGCTACAGCCTCCTTTCGTGTAATTGTAGAGAGTGATGTTTCACCTCAGCCTCTTTTCTGCAGACTATACAAGCCACCAGCCCACCTGTGTGTTACTGCTTGTAGCCCACGTGTTCCTAGGAAAAATCCCCTCCTTCCCCACCAAACACAGCCAAAGTTCAACCATACGAATGCCATCAGAAGTAATTTTATTAAAGGGAGGAAAGAAACGGTTTCCGTGGTGAGGCCTGGTCCAAATTTATGTTTTCTCAGATGCTGTTTGCTTCAGTGCAAAGGAAAGTTGTGAGAGCAAGACCTGGTGCCACTAGGAGTGATGGGGTCAGTGTGACTGAGAGGCCACTAGGTAGATGCAGAAAGGATTTCCAAGGAGAATCCATGTGGTCATCAGTGCCTCCACCCCCTGCATGGAGAAAAAGAGACAGTCTCAGGTTACCCACCAGGAGGTTTTCTGCAATGTTATTTTAGGAGGATCTATCTGGTTTATGTCACGGCACCACAAGATCAGCTGCCATGGAACGTGAATGCCCCCCGAGGACCCTCCGTGCCAGCAAAGCTGGCGTCAGAGAAGTGAGAGAAGATGGTGTCAGCAGCTGTGCCTCTCAGATGTCACTCAGGAGAAAATACCAGGAGGATCTCAGTCACTGCTGAGGGGATGCCTTGCACTTTCACGTACTTCACACAGCAGGAACCTCCATTATGGCACGTTCCAACCCAGTAATATGGCCGCCGACATATCCCCGGGAAGCAGAGTCCATTTTGGAGTACACAAGGGTCGGTTGGCCTAGGGAAGAAGTGCTGACCTGCATGGTGAAAAAAAAAGAATAGTTGTTTACCTCGCAGGTGAGCAGAAGTGGATGCACTTTCCACTCTAATTCCTCTTCACATCTCAGAATCACAGAATCACAGCACAGCTGGGGCTGGGGGCACCCTTGGGTGTCCCAGTCCCCCCCTTCCCCAGCAGGGTGCCCAGCCCCATGTCCTTGGGCTTGGGGAGCTCTCCAAGGAGGCTCCCCAGGTCCTTTTCAGCAGAGCCACTTTGGGCTGGGTGCCCTTGGCTTGTCCTGGTGCCAGGCTGTTCCTCCTCAGGGACAGGACTTTGGGCTTCTCCTTGGTGAACCTCTTGGCACTCCTGTAGGCCCAGCTCTCCAGCCTGCCAAGGTCACAGCTTACCTGCCACCCCTTGGAGCACCATGAAGAGGACAGCCAGGAGCTGGTAAAGGATCCTCATGGCCACTGCTGAGCTGTGAAGTCTTTATCTGCAAGGAACAGAGATTACAAGATCACAAAATTCACCACATGGCCTGCTCCCTCCTGACTGGGGGAGTGCTTAAAACATGCCATGCATGACAAAACCCAGAGGCTTATAAAATACAGTGAACTTGAATGAAGAATGCAGTGGAAACTGCATCCTTGGAGACATTTAAAACCTTCCTAAATGGACCTCTAACCCAACCTAACCACATCTTCTTTGAGCAGGGATTCAGGCAAGAAGTCCCCACAGTCCCTTTCAACTTAAATTGTCCTGGTATTCTGTCTACGTTAGGGGTATTGGTCTTCTTGCATTGAAAAATGATACTCCAGACCTGTACAGCACAGGACAGATCACTCTGAAACAATCACAGACCCATGAATGATTCACCTTCAACCCTGCTGTAGTTCACAAAGTGTTCAGAGACTGAATCTACTACCATCATCCTTCTGAAAGTCAGAAAAGGACTCTTGAACTCAGCCCAAAAGGGACTGAAAATTGGACAAGTTATGTAGCTCAAGAGGCAACCTCTGATGCCTAAAGTGGATGTTTCTGGGTCTCTCTCCATTCCCTTTGGAGGTCAGCAAAACAGCTTCCTCCTGCAGTCCCTGCAAGCCACCCGTGGTCCTGCAGGACATGCACACATGGCCACACTCACTGCACTAATGAGATGGGTGGGGTTAATGAGTGCTGAATACTTCTTGGATTGAAGAAGAATGAAAGCAAAAGCAGTGGAAAAGGAGAAGGAGGTGATGCTGCCTGTCCAGGACAAGGTACGGGAGGAGTTACCAGTAGAGGATGTGCAGGATCACTCACCACTGCCTTCTGTCTCTCTTCTCCAGCAGGTGCCCTAGACCCAAACATGCCGCTTTATATAAAATCTGGGGTTGCTGCCAGAGCAGGCATGAGCCAATGAACAAAGCCTTTCCCAGCTAGCTTTGTTCTGCACTTCGGTGTCTTCCAATGAGACAGGAGGCACTGCTTTGGAACTGCTTTGACCACAAATCCCCCGATCTTGGTGCAATCCATCTTAGAGCATTTCACTTTTTGTAAGAGACGTTAAGCCACAGGGTTATGTGAAATACCTGGGAACACGCAATGACTGCTGCCTAGGTCCTGTGGGGTCTTTGTTCTGCCTTCAGCATGCAGCTTAATTGTCTAGCTTGCAACAGCAGCATGGCCATTGTATGCCTCCATAATGTTTTGTCCTTTTCATCTTTCCTGGTTGTCTTTTGTCCATGTCAGTAAAAGAATGAGCACTGCTTTCTTTTCGGCTTCTTAGTTGTATAGTTAACAGTTTATTCCATAGTAGTATATGAAATTTTAACTTAAATTAATACCACCTTTCATACACTACCATAATGGATCACATTTCCATTTCTAGTGATGCTTCTTAGAGTTTACTCTTAATTTTTTTCTGCTGTTTCAGTGTTCTTCCTGATACAAACTTTCAATTAATCTTTCTCAGACTGTCCAGACTCTGGCAGGATAACCAGCATGCCTGCCAGCCTCATATTTATTTCTCAGGTTATCTGGTCCTTGTTTCTTTGGGAACCTTCCCAGTCCCTTGTGTTACCCCGTCTCCTCTGGATGCGCCCTTGCTTATCCTACTCTCTGCTCTAGAAGTTCCAACCCCTAAAAAAATGACAAACAAATCATTGTACGTGAGCCAGCAACTTAAAAAAAATCAAGCCATGCTTGATAACTTTCAGACTTGATAGCCCATGCCTTGAGAAGTTTGTTTCTGTAGTTCAAGGATGGTGGGAAGACCCAGATGCATGCAGCAGCTGTCAGCTTGGCAGTCAGACTGTGCTGTGCTGTGTCCCACCAGGCAGGAGGTCAGGTCCTTGCCAGCTATAAAGCTATCAGATTTAGAGTTGCTTGAGTTGACTGAAATGAAAGGCAGCTCAGATGCCCACCTTCACGTTATTTAATCTATGTTTTGGCCCCATCTCCATGGGTAAAATCTTGGTGAAGCCTGGCCTTGTAATAAAACCTGAAGACAAATATTAGTGCTGCTCATGCAGTACTGTGGCAGAAAACACCAGGCAGCAGAGGTGATTTCCAGGCAGCTTTTGGCCAAGTCAGGTCTGGGCAGGTTTCCACAGTGCCGGCCAAGGCCACCGAACAGGCAGCAGGACATTTCCCCAGCTGGATTTCATGATATTCTTGCTAATTGTGGACGTGCCGTAAGGACGAGCATTGGGCAATCATTCCAAAGGTCTGTTATCCCTTCCTGTCATTTGCACAGAGCACACGGGGAGAAGAGGATGGCAAAGAGAGGGTGGAGGATCTTTTTGGCCTGAAGGTGTCTGAGGACTCCCCGACATCAGAGGTAAGCCACAGCAGGATAGAAATGATAAATAGACACAAGGGGCTTGATTCAGTGGCCTTCACCCCAACACCTCGAGGAATTTGCAGTTCTCTAGGTGAGATGGGGCTCGCAGACAAGGTTCAGGAGAGAGGAGACCAAGTCTTGCTGGAGCAGCCTGGCTGGCCAGGAGGGACACAAGGACATCCCGGGTGGCACTTGCCTAAGCGTGAGCAAACGAATCGATCCCTGAATATTCACAGAGCACAGGAGTCTGTGGCATTTTGGTGATACAAAGATCTACTTTAAGCCAGCTGGGATTTAGAAGATTATTTTATATATATAGCATTTATATCTAAAACTTTGTTAGCATGACCATGTGGAAGGACTCTTCTTCTAAATACTATCTGACTTAAAGCATATATATACGCATATATATATTAGTGTGAACGTCCTAGGAGGACTGTAGAGAAATGAGAGGGTAAGAAATACCATCATTATAAGAATATGTGTAATTTTAAACAAGGAATTACTTAGTATCCTGGCTGTTATTGACTAAATCATAGATTGGGATATCTGATTATTATTTTTTTTCTATTTGTATGTTATTTAGCTAAGATAAAATATAAAGCAGGTTAGAAAAATCAGTCTTTATTTGTTAGAATACTTATATATTACAAAATAAATATAGCCATACTTTATATATATAATATAATAACGATGCTATGATTTTATGGTTCTATGATTTTATGGTTCTCTGATATATATGTGCCTGCATGTGGTCATTAAAAGAAGAACACAATTTAAATGCTGCAATATCCCTTGAAGCATCATGGAGAGAGAAAAGTAAATTAGAAATACAGCTGTCAAGGTATATCTGGTATACAATATTAATGCATGGATTACGTGTATTTAATTACTAAGGTACGGGTTGGGTTTAATTAGTAAGATACAGGTTAAATACTGATACTTTTTATGATCTTGAGTAGCCAAACTGATATTTAAAGTCAATAACAATATACAGGAGTTAAAATAGAAGATAGTTTAATCACCATATTTAAGAAATTTAAAGTAAATTTGCCAACAAGTATAACAACAGATATAGGTTACCCAGGGAGGTTTTGGAGTCTCCCTCCTTGGAGATTTTCAAAAGCCACCTGGATGTAGCCCATCCTGGATGTGGCCTCCAACCTCAGCCACTCCACGATTCCGTGTGGTTCTGTGAATTCATGAGCTGAAGGTTTTGTCCCAGTATTGGCAGCACAGGGGAACACTTTGGCCTAAACATATTTGGCTTGTTGGCTTCTAGGAAGTGATGTTTCAGCTGCTGGGAAATGCCATGAGAAGCCCAAGTCATTGGCTGGCCAGTCTGTGGCAGCTTTGTCATCAGCAGGAATATATAAACCCTGTTGTTTTGGGGCAAGGCATCACCCTGTGAAGCTGAGCACCCCACTAAGAGGAACCAGGTAGGACAGACCAGCCAGAGTGCCCCCTCTCCACGTGTTACCTACTGATGCCTCAAGTCCTCTAGGATGAGCTGAAGACAATTGATAAAGAGAAAAAATACATACATATATATATATTTTTTAAATATCCTTTGCTTATCTAAAATGAAATCTGCCATTCCAAGGTGTCTGCTTCTGTGGCTTAATTAAAATCTTATGGACAATGAAAAGTATGATACTTGATATTTGATCAATGCATTTGAATTATTATTGTAGTCAATAATGGTGATTCTGTATGACTATAGTGGTTTGTATCATTTGCAAAATTTAATTAGAGCCTGCAGGAAGGACTGATGCTGGGGAGATGCTTTGAGGCTTTCAGCTGGTGTATGTTATAGAGGTGTTATGGAGAGAAGGAATAGACGTCTCAGCTTTTTCTGTAAAAATATTTTCAAGGACTTGCTTTTGTAGGTTTGTAAGCTACAAAAATTATTATTATTTCTACAATTAAAATTTCTGAGTGTTCATTATCCAGAGAAATGAGAATCGTTTAAGTCATTATCTACACATCCCTGAGTCAAAATTTGTGATAATTAAATAAAACGGGCACTTTTGTCATTCATCATCTTGCCATAAACATGCAGCACCATACCCTATAGGCTCCCATGTAGAAAGTTAATTCTGTCCCAGCCAGACCCAAAAGAGTTGCTCAAAAAGAAGGGAAAAAAAAAAAGAGAGAGAATAAAACTGCAAATAGAAGTATTGATGCTTTTGTTTATGTGGCAATGTTCTATATAAGTTATAAAAGACACCTAGAAAAAATTGCTTAATAAGACTTGGAAGATTTTTATTTTATTATTGTTGTGGTTTAACCCGGCCGGCAGCTAAACACCACGCAGCCGTTCGCTCACCCTCCCCCCTCCCTCTCCGGGACGGGGGAGAGAAATGGAAAGTGAAGCCCGTGAGTTGAGATAAAGACAGTTTAATAAGACAGGAAAATAATAATAACAAAATAATAATAAAAATAATAACAATAATAATACAATGATGATAATAGGAAAGTAATAATAGTATGTACAAACAAGTGATGCACAATGCAATTGCTCACCACTCGCTGACCGATGCCCAGCCTAACCCCGAGCAGTCCGGCCCCCTCCCCCCGGCTAGCCACCCCTATATATTGTTTAGCATGACGTCAGATGGTATGGAATACCCCTTTGGCTAGTTTGGGTCACCTGTCCTGGGTCTGTCCCCTCCCAGCTCTTACTGCACCCCCAGCCTGCCCGTTGGCAGGACAGAGCAAAAGGCTGAGATGTCCTTGGCTTAGTATAAGCACTGCTCTGCAACAATTAAAGCATCGGGGTGTTATCAGCACTCTTCTCATCCTAAGCCAAAACACAGCATTCCACCAGCTACTAGGAAGAAAATTAATTCTGTTCTAACTGAAACCAGGACAATTATTATTTTATTTTATTTTATTTTATTTTATTTTATTTTATTTTATTTTATTTTATTTTATTTTATTTTATTTTATATCTTATGTAAGTTATAACATTCAGGGTCTATGAAATACGAATGTAGGAGGCATTGATGTTGGCTGTCTTTGCATGCAATGGAGAGAAAATCACTATATACATTTTATTCTTTTAAGTTTTAGAGAATAAAATATATTTCCTTCATCTTATGAACTGAACTTTAAAAGTATATCTTTAAAATATATTTAACTTTAAACTTTAAAATGAACTTTAAAATATATCTTTCTTCAGAAAGTGGTATTTCAATAGATTGATTCTAGAACACTTACTCAACTGCATAAATGTCAACTTTTATTTACAAATTGCGGCTTATATGTCATACATAATATTGGGGTCAAGTAATGGCCAATGCACCTTTTCCTGTGCTTTTTCCTAGTAGCTGTTGTACCTTGTGCCACTGCATTCGGACATGAAGATCATTTACCTTTTCTTTGCTGTGCTCCTCCTAGTGCTCCAAAGCTCTTTAGGTAAGAGATCCATAAAGGCAGAGGAAACCCTGAGGGGATTTGGTGAGTATGGAAAGGGTAAAGTAGAAATAGAAATAAAATGGGTTTAAATCTTGGGCTACTTCTGTAGTAGTCAAACACTCCATGTGTGATATCCTCTTTTGGATATGAAGAGAATTTAATGGTGTGAACGTGGCCAGACCATAGGCAGACTAAAATATTATTGTCATGCTACAGCCCTGACTTGTACTTAGTCTTCTTTGGGAAGGAAAATCAAGACTCAGCTTCTTTTCACAGGTTTCATGCGAGCACCTAACAACGCCGTGCAATGCAAACAGGCTGGGGGTACCTGTTCCACGGACCACTGCCCCCCACCCAATACAAGAGCCTTTGGACGGTGCAAGCAGGGGATCCCTTGCTGTCGGACTGTGGTGAGTTGAGGATTTGATGAAGACTGGGTGTTTCATGGGGGAATGGGTTCATTACTCACTTTAACACATCCAGTCTGCCCTTGGATATGAAAGCTCCCAAGGGAGCAGGGACTCTACATTCAGAGGATTTCCTAAAGGTTTCCTCACTTGCTCCATGTGTAACACACAGGGTCAATAACGATGCAGCTCAAGTGCCTTGTAGGAAAGATAATTCACAGTCAAAACTCTTTGGAAGAGATAAATAATTAGCAAGAAATTAACTTGTCTCTGCAGTTCCTATTACCTGGTCTAGATGCCTCGTGACATGCAATATTGGCTTTGGAGGACATATTTCTCTATAGGATGTGCACGTTGTCTGGAGTCCTGGAATGTTTGGATCAGGTTCATAGGAAACCTGCATGTTTTATATAGTAAAGTCTACCAAGACTTGCTCATGTTCAGAAGAAAAATCTGAAAGTCATGTTGTCTGTAATTGTCCCCTTGCTAGGGAAAAAGAAATATCTAATACCTTACCAGAATTTAAAAGTTTCTTCTACATATTTATTCCAATACAAAGCAAAAAATATGCAAAAGTACACTCTGCTTCTACTGTTTCTAATACTTAATTTTCTGCTTCTTTCTGCTGCAAGGTGTTGTAGCTAATCGTGGTTTTGGACACTCATTTAAACTTTGTTCAATAGTAATGGCAGAGACATTAAAAATAAAGAGTGAGCAACAGATTTATATAGAGAAATTCCATATCTCCATATCAGAGACTTCAAGATGCAAAAGAAGCTTGAGGTAAAGAAGCTTCCTTGCATTTCATTATTAATAAAATAGAAAGGTTTTCTATTACGTTATTAAAAACATGATTACAATTTAGCAGCAGAAAGACTTTAGAGATCCTGCTAAGAATTCCTGAGTTATTCAGGAACATTTTTACTCTCAGTGCTTGGTGCTGTCAGTTCCTTTTTTTTTTTTTAATTATTATTGTTTATAACATAATCTGAAAGTTTCTTTTCTCTTTTGCAGTATGACTAGTGTTTTCCAGTATCTTAGACCAGCTAAGCAGATCTTCTGGCAATGAGAGATATCATCCCTTTAGAAAATCTGGAATTTGGGGCTGAAAATATGGTTTTCACACACACACACACACACACACACACACACATGCAAACGCACACAAACCCCAAAACACAAACAACAGAAGAATGACAATAAACACCTCAGCCAACAAACTGAATGGCTTGAAAAGACTCTGAAACTGATCATTGGACTGCCCAGAAAAGACTCTTTTGCTTTTTTTTTTTTCTAAAATAAAATAGTTTCTTAACAAAACTGCACTGCATCCCAAAGCGCAGATTATTGGCATACAGAAGTCTTTCCCCATGAGAGGACACAGAACAGGTTCTTGCCTTGGCATCCAGAACAGATGCTCGTGTTTTTTCTTTTATATTTAATAGTAATAATGGGATTGGCACTGAAAGATAAAGTCTCCGGGAGAGACTGAATGCACAGCTGAGGTTTTCAAATTTCATGGTCTACATATCTCTACAAATTTTAATAAACTTGCTCCAGAAGACTTGCATCTGGTCCTTATACCTGCAAGGAATTGTCTTGGTTTGTGTTTTTGCTAGAAGATCTGGCTCCTGTCTCGGCCAGGATTAGTGTGATATGGGGTAAAGTTCTTCAGGAAACCAAACCCATATACAGACAGTAGCACGGCCTGATCCTCTTCCTTATAAGATTAACTAGCAACAGTGAGGGATAACTTCCCCAAACACATTGTGATTAGGCTAGCAAAAAAATGAAACAAGGGGCCATGTTCAGGGCACATGGCAGTCCAAAACCAGCTCATAGCAGCTGATGGGATGGAAAGCATGGATTCCTTTAGCCATCCCTCATCTCAAATCCTTTTGCCCTGTGTTCTGGGATGCTGGGGATGGGAAGGGGAAGCAAGGCACGCTTCTATACCTCATAACAGCAGGTGCTGAGACTCCAGGATGATGGACATGCATCCAGAGAGCACAGTGCTGTGCTAAATAGTTTGGATCATTAGGATCCCACTAATGTGATGCTTGTCTAGACCAAATAAAGGTAACAGGAGCAGAATCAGATAGATGTGGCGAGGCAGTTTTAAGACCTAAAGAAGCTGGCCTTCTGCCATGCTAGGGCTTCTCTGCATTGCCATTTCCAGGTCTTCTCGCTGGGCTGGCAGGTGATGGAGAACTGGATAACTTCTGAACCCCACCTTGGTTTATGATTTACTGACATATGTGTTGCCACACACAGGCTTCTGCAAACCAGACACTCTTCAGGATGATTTAACAGGACTCAATGACACATGTACTTGAATTAACTTAATTTAGTTAAATAAGCTTCATTTACAAGTTGATTTTTTTTTTAGACAATAATAACAAAAACCACCCTGACATACACGAGCAAATGTCAGCAATGTGGTTTCACAGTGTCTTGCTTTTATTAGAATTGAAGCTGCAAATCTCTATCAGGGCTACAAGAACTCCTCCTCACATCTTCTCGTGCTCCCAGGAGTCTTCACCACATGGGAAAGTCTCCTCAGGTTTGCACCAAGGCCGGGATCCATTGATGTCAGAAAACTGGAGATGTCTCAGGTTCCCAGAGCTCTTGTCTGCCTGGTCAGTGAGGTGTAAATTTAGGAACTGGGTGTCCTGCAAAGAGAAATGAAGTGCTTAGCTATTCTGCCTGAATCTGTCCAAACAAGTAAATGATGCTTTCCCATTTCAGGCCAGTGTAGAAATATGGCAACACATGGGGTTTGACAACAGGAGATCCGTGGGATCTGGAACTCTGCTCTGTGCTCACAGAATCACAGCACGGCTGAGTCTGGGCGCACCCCTGGGTGCCCCTGTCCCCTCTCGGGGCACCCCTGGGCCCAGCAGTGCTGCCTGAGGGGCAGGAGGAGCCGCCGGGGCTCCAGGCTGGGCCCGGGGCCTCTGGGCCTGGCCCTGGGCACCGCTGAGCAGAGCCCGGCTCCGGCCTCTCCGCACCTCCCTGCGGGTACTGACGGCCATGGGGGAGCTCCCCCGCAGCCTCCTCTGCTCTAGGCCCAGCAGCCCCAGCTCCCGCAGCCTCTCCTCACAGCACGGGGGCTCCGGGCACGGCAGCACCCTGGGGGTCCCCCACTGGGCCCAGGTCTCTCGGTGCTGGGGGCCCAGGACTGGTCCCAGCACTCCAGGTGCTGCCTCCCCAGTGCTGAGTAGAAGGGCCATAAGACAAACCAGACAAAATGGAGGGTGTGGATGTTCCCACTCAGCACACACCACAGTTTGCTGGCTGCAGCTGCTGCTGACCCAAAATGCCTGACAAGCATATGTCTTAAGAGTAAAACTAATTTATGAATAAAGAGCGGTTGATCCTTTCCCTTTCTTCCATCCCCTCAGACATGTGACAAGGCCTCTCACTTCTATTGTATCCTTCAACAAGATGTTTCACAGAAAGCCAATTCAATTAAATATTAAGGCAAATAATTAAAAATAAAATTACTTAAACAAAGCAAAAACTACAGCAACAACAGATTTATAATATCCAAACGTGTGTGGATCTGTTACAGCTCCTTTGATATGAAATGCCACCAACTGCAGAGTTAGACTGTGACTTATTACAGCATCGCTCCGCATGGCACAGCTCCTATAGGTGCAGAAGCTTTCTAAAGGTGCAGAGGAAAAAATGTTGTACTTCTACAGGGTGGAAGATCTCCTACAGTCTAATTTAATCTAATATCTGGCCCTTTTACCCAATAAAGCAAAAATCTCATGGAGAAAACAGCCCTCTTGCTGCAAAGACAGCCAGCTCTGGCAAACTCCAGCTCCTTCCCTGCTCATCACCAAGTTCTCCCTGTGGCTTTTTCAGAGAAAGCAGACAGGCGTTTTTCTTTGCTGCTTCTCTAGCTACCTACAGGAAATGTGACATTCACTTTGGTTATGTTTTATTTCATCTCTGAAACGTGAAGCCGTTTGGTGCACCAGAGACCGAATAATATAGAATGCCCATTGGCTTCAAAGATGAAGGAGGCAGGACAGGACATTCCTTTGAAACTAAATTTCCTAAGGGTTGGGAAAGGCTAATTCAGTATCAGCTCCACGGATCTATGTGCTGCCTGAACAGCAAATATTCTCTTTAATTCCACAAAGCTCCATTTTTCTGTTATCAGCCAAAAGCCCAGCAATTAGATTTGTTTTTTGTTTGTTTGTTTGTTTGTTTTTAACTTTTTTGGAGGACATAAGAAGCAGGAGAAGGTGTCCTGTGTGCCAAAGAGAATGAAAAGCCCAGTAAATCTATTTGTACTTGCATGAGCATTGCACTGGAGGAATTCATCTTACCATTTGCAGCATTTCAGCTTCCCATTGCGGCAGGTCCCAATGTCAACCAGAGGACCAGAGCATGCAATAAAAGAGCAGGAGCCATGGCTTTGCCGGCATGCTACGGTGTCAGCATCTTCTTGGCTGTAAGCTGAAAAAAAATCAAGGGAAAATTCATGTTCATTTGTCAAGTTTCAGGATAAGGAGAGTTGCAGCATCAAATTAACCAGGCATAGTATGTGATATCATGACATAGCGCTTGGCATGCAGGTTTGTGATTGGGGTAACTGAGGTCTTTACATCCATATAAAATGCAAACTAGCTAGAACAGTGGGCTGTAATGTCTGGAGAAACAGTCTACTTGATTAGCAATGACACATAACTTCTAGCTTCTTTAGCATTTCTCCTGGAGGCATGTGCTTGTCTTTCCAGTTACACACAGGAATACTACAGTATGTGAAAAAAACATAGGAAACACAGAAAGAAAATAAAAACAAAAACAAAACAAACAAAAAAACAACCTTGAAATGAATCTCATATTATCCCCAAAATGTGATGTTATTCAAATTAAAATGTATTAATTTGACCTTTTCAGGCTTTTTCAGCAAATGCAAAGCATATTTATGATTCATTATCATTATCTGCTGCTTTCAATAGCTTTCTGCATGCTTACAGGAAAGGTTGCCAAGTAAGATTTTATTTTTTTTTATTATTTTATTTTATTTTATTTTATTTTATTTTATTTTATTTTATTTTATTTTATTTTATTTTATTTTATTTTATTTTATTTTATTTTATTTTATTTTATTTTATTTTATTTTATTTTTTTGCTAAGGATTTGTGATGCAGTTCTGTATATACTATAAACTAAAGCCAGTGACTATTCTCACTAGTGTTGTGTATGGTTTTAGCTAGGTGCTATGCTGATTTTACCATGCTCAATATGTTCAGAACTGAAGAACCAAATGCCCAGGTATTGTCAAACTCTGCAGCTCCATCTTCATCTGGGCAGCTGCCTGGGCTTATCCCAGATAAAGTGCTAGCCCCAAGAGTGGGTTCAGAGAGTTTCCAGGTTAAACATTACTTGTTCCAGCTGGGATGTTCAGGCAGAAATTCAATGTGTGTTCTTTTTATATGCTTTAAATGGATCTCCTACAAGTGCTTGCTCTTGGTCTAAGCAATTCTACATCCCTTCACTGAGTAGACTGGCATTTGCTGGTCTAGGAAAGTAAGTACAAATTTGAGTCTGCTGAAAACAGTGGGGAAAGATTAAATTTCTCTGGAGATCCCATAATAGTCTGGAATGATGCATATGCTCCAAACCCATTTAATGCACATCTTCGGTAGAGTTCAGGCAAAGCCCCACAGTCTCAACTAATTTTTTTTTCTTCCTTTTTTTTTCACATTACAGTGTGAGACACATTGCTGGGTCTTAAGCTCTACAGAGCTGCCTGAATACACAAGAGGAACATCTTTTTGCTATCATGCCATCAGACAGCTGGACACGGGATGGATAGGGCTAGAAAGAGACCACCAGCAAGACTATCAAGGACCTTGACTCAATAAGTTAAAGATTAGGGCTACAACTGGGGAATTGGACTCTGCAAGTCCACTTAGAGCCCAAGAGCAGAGCTTTTTTGTCTCTTACCTGGAGCAGCCTGGAAGATGAAGAAGAGAAGAGCGACAAGGAAGAAAAGGATTCTCATGATTGCCAGCTGGGGATAGTCTTTGCAGGCGTGAAGATACCTGAGGATGGACGGAAGCTGATGAATGAGGCAGAAGATGGTTACTCCCCGTGCTTATAAAGGCTCTGGGATTGAGCAGTGCGGACAATTAGGGGGTGGAGGAGTGGTTGTCTGTAGAACAGAGAGTTCATTGCCCTATCACTATAGAGATTGGTGATGTATGAAGATGTTGCAACCCCACACATTCGAAGATGCCTGACCTGAACGATGACCAAACCATGTTAGCTGACCTGAGGAGCCAAAACACCCTGTGCTCGCCTGCCTGGTGCCAGCTGGTGGGCTGCACCCGGGCAGGACACAGGATTGGAGGAGGAGAGAGGTGGGTTTCCATGACCCACAACACTGCAAACCATGCAGATTTGCTGATGCCCCGTGGCTCTTGGCCATGGTGTTGTGACAGGCTGTCCTCTCCCCAGCCACAAGGCACTGCTAGCGTAGCAAGGCTGCACGGAACTGGGAGGCAATGGACCCTCCTCTTTTTATGGAGGAGTGGGTCAGAGCTTCTGTCCTCACTGGGATAGGAGTTGTAGGGCTTCAACTGGAGGAATCGGGAGTGAAATCATTATGGACATTCCCCCTCCCTGCCCATAAAATCTGCAGCACGGTAACACCTCTGTCCTCCCAGATTTTCTCCTTGCGAGGTTCAAAGCTCAATTATTATCTGCATCTTATAATTGAGACCTTTGCCATGAATTTTTAAGAAACCTTGAAGATGAAGTCACTAGATGGGACTAGAAGGAAGACCACTGTGCATTGTGCCACCTTATTATGGGAGACTGCATCCCAAATCCCTTTCAACACCCAACTATGTCTTGAAAACAGTGAGGCTGTGTGCTCACTGCTGCTACCAGCATTGAATTCCTGAACCCCACTGATGTTTTCAGATTTCTTCCAGTGCCTCTGCGGAGACCTCAGACCTACTCATTCTTTGCCCTAAATGGCTTCATATTAATAAAATTTTCCCTTGAAGTCACCTTCCTGATGTGGTTATAAATGGAATCACATCTCCCTGTCTTAAGATTCAGCATATCAGGTCTGCTTGTGTCTAATTGTGTGTGATGTCTTCACATCTCTTATCACTTTGTAACATTTTTCTATATCTGAAAATAAATAAATCTCATCTTTTTTTTTTCTTTCTTCTTTTTTTTTTTCTTTTTTTTTCTCATGCGCGTGAAGGACCAGTCATCTATAGGATGGGTAGGATGGACCAGAAGAAGTTTCACCAGAGCTTTATACAGCACTCTTAATATTTCTGCTTGTCTCCCAGAATTGCCATTCCTGAGGCATATGAGAACTGCACGTGTGTTTTTTTTTTTTTTTTTTTTTTTCAAGCCAAGAATCATTAATGAAATCAAGTCAGGAGGGTGCTTAATTTTTTACTTTTTACTGCTTCTGTGCGAGCAGCAAACTGAAACAATGGGGAATAAACAGCAGGAATTCATCTATGTCTGAGCACAGAGGGCATGGACTTCTGTGTCTGGCAAACCAGCTGCCAGAAATTGGCTATCAGGCATGAAGTGGGTGCTTCAGCTTGTGAAAAAAACGCATTGGTTTGCTATATCAGGAGTAGGATTTTAGAAACAAGCAAAACTCTTCTTTACAGTGGAAGGCAGATGAGGAGGTTGAGGAGATAAACAAAGAGGCAAGTGGCAAAGTGGACAAATTCCCTTCATTGCTTCATGAGCTGTTGTCCCTGCCCAACACACTGGGAAATTATGTAATGCCGGTGGGACAGGTAGGACTGACAGCACTGCCATGACCCCGTGAGGTCCAAGGGAAGGAGGGGGAGTCTCAAATCTTCCTGTCTCATGTATTGGGCAAAGCATCAAGAAGATGCTTGGGGGTATCAAGCCCTCCCTTTGCACCCCATGGACATACAGTGGTGGGTTGACCCAATATGTTGCTGTAGTGATGTTTTTGGGAAACACGATGAGAAAACAGAGCTCCAGACCTCTGCCAGGGAGGTATGAGAATTGGGGTGGGCAGTGGTGGTCTTTGGAAAGGGCATGCATGTCTACACACACTGCCCAGGGCAGTGGCTGAGGCAGAGGCACAGGTTCCTAAATCGGCTGCAGCCTTCACAGCTGGTTCTTCACAGACCCATCCATGGAGATGAGAGGTACATAAGGTGAAATTATGCCCCTACCCCTCTGCATTGCCTCCTTTTTTATTTTATTTTATTTTATTTTATTTTATTTTATTTTATTTTATTTTATTTTATTTTATTTATTTATTTATTTGATTCAGGAAGGAAATCAGGAAGGAATCCTCTGTTATTTCTCCTCTGTTTTCCTCTGAGTTGGTCTTTTATGTTAAAACACTCACACGCTATGTCTTGAAATAGTTTTTTTGAGCAAGCCCTGACCAGCCCTCTGATTTCTGCTCTGTGAGCTAGGGCATGAATGCAGCCCCACAAAACAAAACACTCTGTGCACCTGCTTAAAGTTTCACAAACACACAGCTTCATCTCTGATAGCAGAGCACCAGACAGAGGGAGAGAAAGGTGCAGTCCGTGTTCATAGAACACGGCATGCAAAAAACAAGACCCCAAGGGTGAAGGTGCTTGCCATCACATTGCAAAAACATGAGGCTTAATGAAGAAGGAAAATGCACTTGTGTTCTCCTTGAATAAATTTTCTCCTACCTTTTCCAGGGGTGTTGGTTTTGGGGGAGTGAGACTGCTGAGCAAACCCTGCTGGGGTCGGCATGTTACAAGCTATTCAATGCTTTTTGGACCCCCCCAAAAAAAAACACATCAGGAGAGAGAAAGAAAGGGGGAACAGCTCCATCTTCCTCACCACTGGCTCCTCCACTGGGAGGTAGGTGCACCAGGGCCATAACAGCCCCCCCAAAATTGGCTCAGGACAGGGAAAGGGATTTTGGGCAAGGTGCCTTGCTTCTTTTTTCTCCTTGGCACCAGGGGAAGGTGCTGGCAAGCAGCCCCCAGCACAAAGGGAAGGCAGTGGGGCTGCTACTGATGGGAAGCTGTCGTTCCCAAGGTGTGCATTAGGGTTAATATTTGACCTGGTAGTGAAGGAGCAGGTGGGGGAGTATGCACAGGACCTGCCCTTGTGAAAAAAGGCAAAATCATCACCCAGAAAAAGTAACTTCATCCTTTTGACTCGCCATTCCTTCAGGAACTTGGTAGGTTTGTTGTTTTTATTTTTATCTTGGGAATTTTCCACTTTTAGTCTGTTTTCTGAGTGGTAGGACAAGGGAGTGCAAATGTCTCCAGACCTGAAATAGCCTCTGCTTTTAATCACAACTGATGGGCAACTAATCTACCAGAGCAGATGGGCAAAATCAGTTTAGACAAAATCTTTTACAGCCTAGGAGTAAATAAAAAGCAGTCAGCAAGCTGAGTTTCCCCATCCCAAAGCAAGGGGCAAGGAAGAAATGTCAGCAGGAGGCACAGACACAGGCAGGCACAGAGGAGGTGGCCGTGGGCGGAGGGGACAGGGTGTTCGTTCCCCTTCATGGAGCACTCGGTAGAGGCTGCTCATGCATGAAACCAGGTCTCAGTGGGGGTATCCAGGCCACTGCCCCAAGTGCCTGCCCAAGATCAGCCACGGGAGCATCTCCAACCATGGAAGAGAGCTGTGAGTGGGAGAAGTCACTCATCAGCAGATTTTGGGGAAGTCCCTATGACAATCATTATTTTGAAAACCAGCCCTTCATTCAGGTGGTCAAACAAAAGGTTTTCTGAGGTCCTGTATAGCATCTGAGAAAGAGACTTTGTAATTTCTTTATACCATCTTATCTAAAAATAGAGATGAGTCTGTTCTGGGGAAAAAAATAATAAAGTTGTCTGAAGATCGGTTGGATATTCTGTAAGGTTATTCCAACCAGAAAAAGTACTTGAGGTGGATTCAAACATGGGATACTGCTATATTCTTGAGCATTTTCTGTTTGATAAACCATAGAAATAGGTGGAATATGTAGCCCTGTGGTGTCATTTAACACTGACAGAGCACAGTCCCATTGCTGATGTTAATTCAGAAGGGGTCTAACCTCATGTGACAGATCCAGAGCTGGGGAAATCAAGAGGTTGTTTTTATTTCAATTATTTGTTTATTTTCCTGAATAAGAAGTCTCGTACAGTATATTTGCAAAGTAATGGGGAAAAGTTGAACGTCCTGTTCTAACTAATAATCCTGTCCTGTTCAGACTAACAAGACAGGATTGTTTGATGGGGAAGTTACGACAAGAGGAAGGAAATACACAGCCGCACAGCCTCCGTGTTAATTTGACCTCTTCTGATTTCTGCATTTCCTTTGTGTTTCTGATTGGGGTTCTTTTTAAAGTGATTATATCCTCCCCTACCCACCCACCCACCATCAACCCACCTCAACCCCCCAAAAAAGGCTACAGCTGTGGGTAAAGAACAATCTCTTTAGCTAACTCTTGACCCAGCTTCAGAGATCAAGTAAATTGCCTAAAAGTAGGCTCCAGTGCCTGGAAAATCCTATTTATTTTATTTTTTTCTAATGCACCTGGGTGAAATCAGCCTTGTCTTGTCCCATCCTCCTTTAAGGACATAAGAAATTGACTCCAAAATAATTGACTTCTTGCTTCCATGACTAGACGTGGGGGGAGAAAAGAAGTTTATTGTGAGTCTGTAACTGTAGGAGGATGCAACGAAAAAAATACCTAGGTTTTGTACTCTAGCACTGTAGATCTTGTGGTTAAATCTGCATTTTCCAAAACACAGAGAAACCATATCCAAAATATCTACTGGGGATAGTCTGACATATCCTTGAATTATCTATGGGAATTGCTTGGGTCAGTGGCCAAAAGTTGCTGGGGACTGTGCTAAAAAAAAAAAAAAAAAAAAAAAAAAAGTCAGTTTTGCATACACAAAGCCTTTTGCAGTGATTCTCTTTTTGTGTGTATGTGTGTGTTTTGGGGGGACAGAGCTCCTTGTGAGTATTTCTTTAAAGTCTCTCCTACATTTTATACCTCCTTCTTCTTGTATGGGAAAAGGCATGGGACAACTCTCCCCTTGTAACATTCTCCAAGCCACATTTCTTCTTCCAGAAGAGTCTTTTTTAGAAGAAGGAACC